GGGTGGATTACCCTTATCTCAGAGTTTCAAGACCAGCATGAGCCAGAGTGAGACCCCGTCTTCTACCAAAAATTGCTGGGCATTCTGGCAGGCACCTGTAATCCCAGTACTTGGGAGGCTGAGGCTAGAGAATCACTTAAACCCAAGGACCTAGGGTTTGGTGGAGGTTGCTGTGAGCTATGATTCCACAGTGCTCTACTGAGAGTCACAAAGTGAGACTCTGTCTCCATAAAAAAAAATAAAATGAAAGCAAAATTAAAAAGAAAGAAAGAAAGAAAAACTGTATATAGTTTCCCAGAAGATAATGAAACTTCAGAAAGTACAGGTGTCAAGACTCACAGTTTGGTTCTCATGCTTTTCTAGTTCATTTCAATTCTGCATTCATAGTAAACAAATCTTTAACCCTAATAAAATTCCTTGGGGCCTTTGGAATCAATAGCACAGTATCCTCAACTTGCACATGATCTTGTCCTCCAAGATGAGCTCTCTGATAAATGCTTCAGAAACACCCAGGGCCTCAGTGTAGGGCTCTGGTTATGCCCAAGCCATATATACATACATACATGCCCACACCATACATATATACATACATACATGCCCACACCATACATATATACATACATACATGCCCACACCATACATATATACATACATCCATGCCCACACCATACATATATACATACATACGTACCAAGCCATACATATATATATATACATACATACAAAGCCATACATACATACATGCCCAAGCCATACATATCAAGCCATACATACAATACATGCCCAAGCCATACATATGTACATAACTGGTGGGGTCTTCTTCCTCATCTGCCATCCCATTACAGTAGGGGCTCAATGTGATTTTATTAAATCTTGTTATTAAAATAGTTTTCAGAGGAACACCTTATTTTATCACTGAGGAATGGGAAAGTAACAATTATACAGCTGTACAAAGTGGATCCTTAAGAGTTTATTTCTCAGGAATGTAATGAGCTTTAATATCTAAGAATACCTGCATACATTTGACAAAACTGTATCCATTGCATTTCAAAAGATTCATTCATCCCAGCAGTATTTTTGGAGCACCACACTGTCATTAGAGCTGGGGGGACCACGAAGAACATCCCCTCTGTCACTGAGCTCATCTTTAGGGAGCACGGGGAGGAAGGATGGCTTTAAAACATGATTTTTATACTGAAATTATTGAAAATATTTATGCAACTCATGTTGTCTTCACAGTCAGAAATAATTTCTTGTACCCAAGAAGTGGAACTGATGATAAATCAGGTACGAGCCCTACTGGAGCAATTAAAAATGACTATAAAATCCAAGACAGCTGTCCCCACATCACAGGTCTTTGTAAGTATTTGTCATTAATTTTCACCTTGTTAAGGGTGAATTTCTTCTTGAGCAGTGGTTCTCAACTTTCCTAATGCTGAGACCCTTTAATACAGGTCCTCATGTTGTGGTGACCCCCAACCATAAAATTATTTTCAGATAGAGGAGCGGTGTCTCAGTTCCTAAGACCATTGAAAATATGCGTTTTCCGATGGTCTTAGTCGACCCCTGTGAAAGGGTTGTTCGACCCCTAAAGGTGTCGAAACCCACAGTTTGAGAACTGCTGCTCTTGAGTCCTGTAAAATTGGATCAGAAGTCATTATAATTATATTTAATTACTAAAAATATTACAGTTTTATACAAGTTGATCTTGTTCTTTGTGGTTATTTTTTAGTCACAGTGTGCTGTAAGTTGGATGAGAGAATTACTCTACATAAGTAATTGCTACTAATGGAAATGCAAATTTATTGTATGATAACTTGGTATTGGCTGTGGCAATTGAAATAATCCATAGTACTGTATTGCAAATGTGTTCATAATAGCTATTTGGAAATTGCCTCCAGCACAGAGATGATGTAACTTATGACCTTTGTGAAAAGACACATAATAATCACTTTATTTATCAGGCCTGTACTAATACTGACTTTCCTTTTTTTTTTTCCCAAGTCAAACTATATCCAGCTTTATTAAAGACACTTTTCATAAACAATCATGGTATTTTATGGTTAACAGTGTACAACCTTCAAATTCCCTTCTTCAATGGTCTACCAAAAATCAGAAAGCCACTATAAAACCCAATGAAGTCCTCATTTGTGCTCTGAACAGTGAAGTTTAGAGTGAGGGTTCACATTTCACATTTAGCATATTGTTTAACAGCTTTTCACAAGCTGACCCTGACTTTCAGGAAATGAAAGGAAAATGGCAGAATTTATCCAAAGATCCAACAGTCTACAAATGGAACCATTGCCATCTCAGTGATTGTTATTGGAAAAGTCCAGATTCCTTGACGTACTGGTAACCAGTTATTGGGGATCAGGTCCCAAGAGGTGACTGGATTTAAGGGAGTTAAGACTATGCTAACGCAGAGGGAGAATAGGACATAAAAGAAAATTAATTTTTCCATACCACAAGGCGTTTGTGCCAATGTGGCTGTGTGTCAACATCAGGGAATCCCTCCTCTTAGGTGTCAAGAGAGAAGTTTCTCAAAACTAGAGGGAAAAGACATTTTCCCTTATATCAATCTAGCTTTGGAGACATTCTATTAGTGACATGTGACTCCCCCCCCAAACAATGAGGTGTTCTATATGCTAACAACATTGCTAAAAAAAAAAGCAAAATGAAATTAAAAAAAATTTTTTTAAAGGGTGGTGCCTGTGGCTCAAAGGAGTAGGGCACTGACCCCATATACTGGAGGTGGTGGGTTCAAACCTGGCCCCGGCCAAAAACTGCAAAAAAAAAAAAAAAAAAATTTTTTTAAACTTGATTAAAAAAATAGTATTTCAACCTGTACAGTCAGCAGATGTCACAGTTATCACAGGTGCTCACACTTCACTGCCATCCCCAACACCTGCAGCTTTCTGGGCCTGGTCTGTTTTGGCACCTCCACTTTCTGCAGGGTTGTTCCCCTCCTTGCCAGCACCAGCTATTCCCTTTTCCCCTTTGGGTACCTTCTCTCCCTTCTCTGCAGGGGCCTCTTTAGGCTTTGGCTCTGGCTTTGGAGAGCAGGTTTAGCAGTCGACTTTGCTGGTCTTCCTTGTGGTCTGTCCTCAGCCAGCTTTTGTCTCCTGGCTTCCCCTACAGCTTTTCTCTTGGATGGGACGTAGGTGCTGTATGTGGGGAGGCAGCAAGGCCCGGGCTTTGGTCAGTCCGGGAGTTGTTCTCACCTCCTCTTCTTCACACTGCTATGACTTTCTGATTATCTTCATTGTGTGGACAAGCCCAGCAAGGCTGATCTGTACTGAGAGGCACAAAATGCACTGTGTGTTGTGTGGAGCATCCAAAGCACCAATAGCTTCTGCGCTTACTCCCAATACTTGGTTTTAAAAACTAAGAAACCAGAACAGAGTTCTGAAGGATCCAGGACAAAAAAAAAAAAAAGTTCCTTCACTACTATGAAAAACTCCCAACTTTTTCCAAAACATCTAATAAGAGTTCTGAAGGATCCAGGACAAAAAAAAATAAAAAAATAAAAACCAAGAAACAAAAGGCTAACTTGTTTAACTTACATTTGGGGCCTGATTTATGTTTTGTTTTTTATAAGTCAATGGCCTTTAATATGAATAAGAAATATTTTATTTGGCCAGGTGTGGTGGCTCACGCCTATAACCCTAGCACTCTGATAGGCCAAGATAGGAGGATCGCTTGAGGTGTGGAATTTGAGACCAGCCTTAGCAAGAGTGAACTCTGTTTCCTCTAAAAATAGAAAAATATTAGCTGGGGATGGTGGTACACACATGTAGTCCAGTTACTTGAAAGGATGAGGCAGGAGGATTGCTTAAGCCCCAGGAGTTGGAGGTTGCAGTGACCTGTAATGACACTACTATACTTTAGCCAGGGATTTTATCTCAATTACTTAAAATCTTTAACTTGTAGCTCACAAGACATGCCCTAAGATATATCTCTATGCTTTCCAGATAATCGTGATTGGGCCAGTAAATCTAATTATAATGAATCATATTTAGTTTTTTTTTTCTTTTAAAGATATTTTCCCTTGGGTATTTTTTTTTTTTTTTTGAGACAGAGTCTTACTATGTCATCCTTGGTAGAATGCTGTGGTATCACAGCTCACAGCAACCTCAAACTCTTGGGCTCTAGTGATTCTCTTGCCTCAGCGTCCCAAGTAGCTGGACTACAGGTGCCTGCCACAATACCTGGCTATTTTTAGAGGCAGGGTCTTGCTCTTGCTCGGGCTGGTCTGAAACCCATGAGCTCAAGTAGTTCACCCGCTTTGGCCTCCCAGAGTGCTAGGATTATAGGCATGAGCCACCTTGCCCAGCCCTGCCCTTGGTTTTTGAGATGATGTGTTTGTAAATATTTCTTAGGTGACCACATGTGTTTGGCTTTTAAAATAAATTAACTAGCCAGGTGTGGCAGCTCATACTTGTAATCTGGGAGTCTGAGGCAAGTGGATTGCTTGAGCTCAGGAGTTTGAGATCAACCTAAGCAAGAGTGAGATCCTACCTCTACTAAAAATAGAAAAAACTGTCCTAGTGTTATAGTGGATACCTGTAGTCCTAGCTACTTGAGAGGCCGAGGCAAGAGGATCACTGTGCCCCAAGAGTTTGAGGTTGCTGTGAGCTGTGATGCCAGAGCACTTTACCCAAGGCTCCAGAGTGAGACTGCCTCAAAAAAATAAAAGGTAAAATAAAATAACTTTGTATATAATAATCATATAAAAAATGAAACAATTTGAAATAATTTTCTCATAATTTGAGTCAAATTTCTATCTAGAGTCTATTGTGTAATTTCATAAGACATAAAGAAGAATTGATTTCTTTACAAATGACTATTTAAATTTATTTTTAAGAGTACAATGATTTACAGTTTTGTTACACAGTTAAATTTTATACTATTTTTTTCCTCTTCCTCAGCCTATCTTCATTTCACTTTCCAATCTGTGGACCAGCCTTCAGGATGAAACCATTCTGATTAGTGTCCTCAGCAGTTTAGCCACTCACCTTGAACCATTCCTGGGCTCTCATGAACTACTCTTCCCTGAAAAATTAGTACAAGACCTTCTCAATGGGGAGACTGTGAAAACTGATATGTGTAGAATTAAAGAAAACATGGGTAATGAAAAGCATCCATTATTTTATCTTTTTAAAATTACCTCTACAATAAGTCACTGTCTTGTTTTAAAATTTTCATGTTATATCTTTCAAATGAAGCATTAAACATCTTTCTTTATTGTAAAGTACTAATGTTCATTATAGGAAATCTGGAAAACAGAAACTATGTAAACTGAAAAACTTACTCTCCAGCAACAATCATGCATAATGTTACTATTAATGTCTTGGAAAACAGTGATTTTTTTTGTCCATATGTGCTTCTATTCCTGGCCTAGTGATTTTTACTATTGATTTGTTATAGAAAAGAATATTAATCCTTACTATATTTGTTGCAAATAAGGCTCTATTTCTTCAGAATGTTGTTTGTTATATATCTATCTCAGATCCAAATTGAGAATCTATAAATCAATAAATTAAATTGTAAAATAAATTTTATCCCTGTAATAATTTCATCTCTGTAAGATTGAGTTTATTTTAGGTCCTTTAAAAGATGCATTGATTCTTATAGAAAGAATGTCTTTATCAATAAACTTTTAACCTTTTTGGCCTTTTCTATCTTAGCTAAAGACAAGTTAAAGTTCATGAAAAATGCCAAATGAAAGCCTGAACTTGAACATATTTATGTTTATTGTATGAAAGAGTTTTTTCATACAATGAAATGATATACTCTATGAATTTTCAGTGATTTTTTATACATTTTTTGTTATGACAATGTCACTTGCCAAAGCAGTGATTTCTTAAACTATTAGAATGTATAAAAACTGAATCAGGGGGCAGCGCCTATGGCTCAGTGAGTGGGGCACTCGCCCCATATGCCGAGGGTGGCAGGTTCGAACCCAGTCCTGGCCAAACTGCAACAAAAAAGTAGCCGGTGTTGTGGTGGCCTGTAGTCCCAGCTCCTTGGGAGGCTGAGGCAAGAGAATCACCTAAGCCCAAGAGCTGGAGGTTGCTGTGAGCTGTGACTCCATGACACTCTACTGAGGGCGACAGAGTAAGACTCTGTCTCTAAAAAAAAAAAAAAACTGAATCAGGGACTCAGCTCAAAAACATCTGTTTAGTTGAAGATTTTACTAGTCACTTCATTTCATTAAAACAATATGTGAAAAATAGTAGTGAAATTAAAGTTGAAGTAGTTTCAGCAGTGGATATTAAGCTCAACTGTATCAGCAAGACAGTTTACTTGCAGCTTCTTAGATTTGTATTGCAAGTACTATTTTGATATTCCCTAGGATACTTTTTATCAAGATATTGCTCCAGTGAAATTAGAAAACCAACATTCTTCTAAAAGAACTTATTTGCCCAGGCAGGATGGGGATCCAGAGAAGGGTATTCCTAGGAATATCTAGGACTTACTTGTCCTTTGTAGCACTGTCCTGTGGGGTGACGGACCCTGTGTTTCGCTGCTCATGGAGAGTCCCCTCGGCAGGGGAGGGGTCCCTGTCATGTATACATATAACACCAAAAAGTGTTATAAGTCTTCTTTTAATTAAAATAATAAAACATAATACCACTTTTGATAGACAGGACCATATCAAAAGTAAATTCTGTAATATCTGTGAGCCAGTAAAGCAATGATGCTATATACCATATGTACATATTTATATTCATTTTTGCATCCTCTAAATAATATAATATTCTTTTAGATTTTAGAAATTGCTTCCACAGTGATTCACATTTGTCTGGGCTCAAAGCCATTCTTTGCAAACATCAGAAAGATATTTTCATACATTTTCTTTCTGGTATGTTTTCCTAGGATGCCCATAAGTGTGTTTGTAGTTTGAGTTGTAGCCATGTAGTTGAAACAGCAGATCTGAGTTTATAAAGAGATACATGAAACTTCTGAGTAAGTAAGTTATTTCAGTAACAGGAAAGTATTCCGCTGAAATACACTGGTCTATAATAAACTCTAAATTCAACAATACTCATTCTAAGTTACCTTATTTCTAGAAATCAGTTAATGCAAATATTAGTAAAAAGTAACTGTAAGTTTATTCATTGGGCCAATGAAATTTTATCAAATAAACACTATGTTAAGTACCAGGAAAAATAATACCAATAATAATATGCCATACTTGAAGCAGCAAAATAAATACCATGCCAAGAGAGTGATGATGATGATGATGATACAAATTGGCATTTATAGAAGCTGTGGAAGTTGTTAGAATCAAAATGTAGTCACTAATGTTAAAAAAAAACAGTAAAAAAAAAATTTAATTTACACCTGCAAATCTCATTGTTGGAGGCTTTCAGGCATCAGAGAAAAAACAGGAAGGTTTATTTTCTCTAAATTATGCATTTACTTTTAGCTGTAGCCACAGGGTCATTTGTAGTGTCTGCTTTTTGGGCTTAGAACCAGGCATAGATGGGTAGTTGGGATTTTGAAAGTTAAGAACCATAGGGAACAATGTTTTATAAATCAAGGTGTTATTTGTGTAAAAAATGTATTTAATCTGTTTATCAAATGTGAATTGACAACACTAAGAATGATTTTTAAAAATATAAGAAACAAAAATTGTACACCTTGTTATCAAAATCAAGAGTGATTTCTTTGACTCTTTGCTGAGAACATCCTCTATTGTTCCAAGAAGCAGTAGTCCTAGCATGTACGTATTTTTCCATCTGGCATATTATTAAAAGCTACATCACCTTGAATGAGGTTGATTTGCTCTATCTTGGTCACATAGAAGCCAGTCTCCTCTGCTTGTCCCTGTGTCATCTGCTCTGTGGTGGCAGGAAGCGCCATGGAAGGGCCTTGCTCAGCTTCCCTTCTGGCCACAAAACACACTTTCCTTAAGTGGCCTCTCCTCTGTGCTCTTCATTCTGGAGCAGAGTTCTGCCTCCAGGTTTGCACCGGAAACCAGTGTGACCTTGGACCAGTCATTGAGGTCATTTGTATTTCTTTGCTTGAATGCTCCTCCCCATAATGCTGGTTGTGTACGCATCAAGCTTCAGAAAGTTAATGTGTATAATGAGCTACTACTGATTTAGTTGAGACATGTAACCTTCTCACTGAGTAAAAGCTTTTCTTGTTCTCCTCTTTCATTTTAGAAGATAGAGTACATCCATTGGATTTCAGAAAACTAGAGTGGCTTTTCCCAGAAACAACAGCAAATTTCGATAAGTTGTTAATTCAGTATCGGGGATTTTGTGCTTACACATTTGCTGCAACAGATGGTCTTCTCCTTCCAGGTATCACTGGAAAAATACTGTTCTTCCTTCCCCAATTCTCATTTATATAGAGTGTTGTCACATATTTACTTTTCCAAACTTTGTGGAAGCAACTGGTGAGCTAGAAGAGGAGCCACAGGGGTGATCTGCCCTTGCCCTGACTTGCTTTTGGGGTGCTCACAGGGTGACTAGCTGACATAAACAAGGAGTTATAAGCAGTGAGTAATAGAATGTGTGTATTATGAAATAGGCAGGCCGCAGTACCACAGAAAGGGGATGACTCCAGTGCAGTGAAAGGTTTCAGAAATGTTACACAGCATTACTAAAAATACATCATCTTTCAAAATGATTACTGAGGCTGGGCACAGTGACTATTGCCTATAATCCTAGCACTCTGGTAGGCCAAAGTGAATGGACTGTTTGAGCTCAGGGATTCCAAACCAGCTTGACCAGGAGTGAAACCCTGTCTGGACTAAAAATAGAAAAACAAGCTGGGGATTATGGCGGGTGCCTGTGGTCCCAGCTACATGGGAGGCTGATACAGGAGGATTGCTTGGGCCCAAGAGTTTGCAGTTGCTGCGAGCTATGATGCTGTAGCACTCTACCCAGGTGACAGGGTGAAACTCTGTCTCAAAAAAAAAAAAAGTGATTATTGAAAGACCAAGACTTACTTGACTGATAAGTTTATTTGAAAATATTCTTTGTCACTTTGTAATAACATTTCATTACCATAGCTAAGGATTTCTCTGTAAGTCAGATCTTTCTATGGACATGGGCAATATTTTACCTGGTAAAATTTCTCTACAGGGTTGATATTATTTATTACAGGTTTTCCAAAGTAAAAACAAGTCAGACATTGAGATAAAAGAAATTATTATCCAAAAAGTGTTGTGCAAATTGAGAATAAAAAGAAGCCTGCTAGGGTTAGAATGAAAAAAATTTGACAAGATTGCTTCTTATTTACTTTACACCACTAGCCTTTTTTCTTGTTGGTTACTTTATTTTGGTATGTTTTTGGAATTACTTTTTTCATTATAAAGAATTATTAAGAGGGCAGCACCTGTGGCTCAAAGGAGTAGGGTGCTGGCCCCATATGCCAGAGGTGGCGGGTTCAAACCCAGCTCTGGCCAAAAACTGCAAAAAATAAAAAAATTATTAAGATAGTGTGCATATAGGCTATAGCAGTGATTCTCAACCTTCCTAATGCTGCCTAATGTCGTGATCCTTTAATAGAGTTCCTCATGTTGTGGTGACCCCCAACCATAAAATTATTTTTGTTGCTACTTCATAACTGTAATTTTGCTACTGTTATGAATCATAATGTAAATATCTGATATGTAGGATGTATTTTCATTGTTACAAAGGGGTCATGACCCACAGGTTGAGAACTGCTGGACTAGAGAGAACACACAAATTGACTCGTTTTTTATGGTATTACATTTTTCATAATGGGAATAACAAAAGGATTGCCATGGGGAATTGAAGCCCAGCGAGAGTTACTGACACTGAGGAGGTGAGAGCTGTGGGAAGTAGAGAGCAGCAGTCTGTAGGCAGCTCTGCTCTGCTCCTTTGATTTCATTTTCTCAGCCCTCTTTCCCTTCCTTCCTTACTACATGTCTAAGAAGGGAAGAGAGCCACCAGGGACGCACACAGAAACATGGGTGTGGGCTGACAACAGGGGTAGCACGATGAGGGTGGCAGAGTTACAGGCTAGGGTCCAGGAGAGCCAGTTTCTAGTTCCAGTTTGTATCGGTATCATGGGCAACCTTCAGCAAATCTCAAGCCTTCCCAGCCCTTAGTTTCCCCTCAGGAAAATGAATAGGTTTGTGGAGATTCTTCCAGCTTCCACCTCCTATGGCTTAAAGAAGAGGGAGAAGTAGAAGGGTAGTGGGGTTACAGTCACAGACCCTCTCTGAATAAGCTAGTTCTCACAACTTTGTTTCTGCTTACTGTTATTTCTGGGCAGTAGCTGCCCATGTTACGTTGGAGGAATTCTCTAGGACTGCCCTGATGACAAAGGCTGTGGGTGAACCATCAGGATCATTTTCAGATGACTTCACTGACTTTACTTTCTAGCCCCCTTTCTCTCATTTGCTGTGCTCCAGCCTTCTTGTTATTCTTGAACATTCTAAGCCCATTTTTACCTCATAGCCTGTGGTATTCCCTCTAGTTGGAAAGCTCTGCCTCCAGATAGCAGATCTCCTTCATTTCATTCAGCCTTTTCCAAATGTCAGTCTCACCCTCCTTCTTTTCACTGTATGTTTATTTTCTTTTAATTTCTTTTTTTTTTTGAAGAAGAGTCTCACTATATCGCCCTCAGTAGAGTGCTGTGGCATCACAGCTCACAGCAACCTCAAACTCTTGGGCTTAAGTGACTCTCTTGCCTCAGCCTCCCAAGTAGCTGGGACTACAGGCACCCGCCACAACACCCAGCTATTTTTTTTTCTTCTTGCAGCTGTCATTGTTGTTTTAGCTGGCCTGGGCCTGGTTTGAACCCACCAGCCTCGGTGTACATGACTGTTGCCCTAACTACTGAGCAACAGGCACCAAGTCTTCACTGTGTGTTTAATCTGATCTTTCCCCTGTGGCTCTGGTCACTCTGAGCCTTGTGATATACTTGTGATTTGTTGAGAGTAAGGACTTTGTTTTCTTGCAGTATCTTTACTGCCAAGAACAGGGCCCATCAATATTTGTGGAATGAATCAATAAGACAGTATTGCTGTTCCTGTATAATTAATACAGACTGCATATTTAATAAATTATAGTCTATCTAGTATCTTTGTACACTAGAAATTGTTTTCTGATTATTCAGTTTGCATTTTAGAAAAGATATCTCATTTTTGTAGTTCTTAAAGAATTATTTTTAACAGCATGGTATTGGTACAAAAACAGAGAGGTAGATGTATGGAACAGAATGGAAAGCCAAGAGATGAATCCAGCTACCTAACATTATCTGATCTTTGACAAGCCAATTAAAAATATTGTGTGAGGAAAAGATTTCCTATTTAACAAATGGTGCTGGGCTAACTGGATGGCGACCTGCAGAAGACTGAAACTAGACCCACACCTTTCACCATTAACTAAGATAGACTCTCACTGGATTAAAGACTTAAACTTAAGACATGAAACTATGAAAATACTAGAAGAAAGTGTAGGGAAAACACTTGAAGAAATCAGCTTGGGCGAAAATTTTATGAGGAGGGCCCCTCAGGCAATTGAAGCAATGTCAAAAATCTACTTTTGGGACCTGATCAAACTTAAAAGTTTCTGCACAGCCAAGAACACAGTAAATAAAGTGGGTAGACAGCCCTCAGAATGGGAGAAGATATTTGCTGGTTATGTCTCTGACAAAGGTTTAATAACCAGAATCGACAGAGAACTCAAACGTATTAGCAAGAAAAAAACAAGTGATCCCATCTCAGGGTGGGCAAGGGACTTGAATAGAAATTTCTCTAAAGAAGACAGGCGCACAGCCTACAGATTTATGAAAAAATGCTCTCCATCCTTAATCATCAGAGAAATGTAAATCAAAACTACTTTGAGGTACCACCTAACCCCAGTAAGATTAGCACATATCACAAAATCTCAAAACCAGAGATGTTGGCGTGAATACGGAGAAAAGGGAACACTTCTACACTGCTGGTGGGAATGCAAATTAATTCGTTCCTTTTGGAAAGACATCTGTAGAACATTGAGAGAACTAAAAATAGACCTGCCATTTGATCCTGCAATTCCTTTATTAGTATATATCCAGAAGACCAAAAATCGAATTACAACAAAGATATTTGTATCAGAATGTTTATTGCAGCCCAATTTGTAATTACTAGGTCATGGAAGAAGCCCAAATGCCCATCAACCCACAAATGGATCAATAAATTGTGGTAAATGTACACCATAGAATACTATGCAGCCCCAAAGAAGGATGGAGACTTTACCTCCTTCATGTTTATATGGATGGAATTGGAAAATGTTCTTCTTAGCAAAGTATCTCAAGAATGGAAGAAAAAGTATCCAATGTACACAGCCCTACTTTGAAACTAATTCATAGTTTTTATAGGAATGTCATAACCTAATTATAGCCTTAGAATATGGGAAGGGGGTGGGAGGGGGAGGTGAGGGTGTTGGATGGGGGGAAGGAGGGTGATTGGTGGGGTCACCTCTATGGTTTATCTTACAAGGGTACAAGTGAATCTTTCTAAAAGCAGAGTATGAACGTTTTAACTCAATAACTAAGAAAATGACATGAAGGTTATGTTAACCAGTTTGATGAGAGTATTTCAAAATGTATATGAAAACAGCACACTGTACCCCATGATTTCATTAATGTACACAGTTATGCTATGAGAAATAAAAAAAAAAAAAGAATTATTTTTAAGGGCGGCACCTGTGGCTCAAAGGAGTAGGGCATTGGCCCCATATGCCGGAGGTGGCAGGTTCAAACCCAGCCCCGGACAAAAACTGCAAAAAAAAAAAAAAAGAAAGAAAGAATTATTTTTAAAACAATCCTTATAGCAGCTAGGTTAAGTAGATTTCAAAAGTCTGCCATATGACTAAGTGGGCTTTTCATAAGAGATTTTTAAACTTCGTATATCTAGAAAGTGGAAAGTATTTTTACATAATATACACTTTAAATAATATTAATTTCACATGAAATATCACTTAATAAATATATGACTTAAAATTGCTTATTATAACATTTTAGCAAAATAAATCATAAGTGACATGTTAACAATGGGAGTGTATAAGGACTGGTTTTATTGGCATATTGCAAATATAGAACCACTTAATATTTCATAAGTGATTAAGATATTTAATATCTAATTCAATTCTTTGTCTTAATTTTCAGGAAATCCAGCAATTGGAATTTTGAAATATAAAGAAAAGTATTACACTTTCAATACAAAAGATGCTGCATATTCATTTGCAGAAAATCCTGAAAATTATATTGATTTAGTTAGAGAAAAGGCCAAAAAAAATGCAGAATTGATTCAGCTACTGGAACTTCACCAACAGTTTGAAACTCTCATTCCGTATTCTCAGGTAAATAGGATGAATATTTTAAGAATTTATGACATTTAGGTTGGATGTCTGTAGCTCAAAGGTTAGAATGCTGGCCCCATGCATTGGGGTTGATGGGTTCAAACCCAGACTGTACCTGCTAAACAAACAAACAAAAAAAAGAACTTATGACATTTAAAAGTATGGTTAATTAAAAAGTCACATTTTTTGCAGAGTGGTTACCAAACCAGGCAGAGACAGGTGCAGATAGGGTTCTTTATGGGTTATCTGAAAGGGATTCACATGTAAAGATGCAAATTTATGGAATCCATAAAGAACAATGAAAACAAAATATGAAGTCAAATTCACTCTGGGAGGCTGAGGCAGTAGGATTTCCTGAGTTCAGGAGTTCCAGACCAGCCTGAACAAGAGCAAGACCTCATCTCTACTAAAAATAGAAAAACTAGCCAAGCCTTGTGGTGGGCACCTGTAGTCCTACCTACTTGAGAGGCTGAGGCAAGAGAATCATTTAAGCCCAGGAGTTTGAGGTTGCTATGAGCTATGACCCCATAGCACTCTAGCCTGGGTGATAGAGTGAGACTCTGTCTAAAAAAAAAAAAAAAGACATTTAGTCAAATTGATAAGTTGACAGACTGGAAAAATCTGAAAGAGAAAGACTTCATTTAGTTAAATAATTGAAACTGCAGTATTGGTGTTTCCAAAATTGGAGGAGCTTAGCACAAACACCATAGACAACTTCTTTATGTTCAGGTTTGAATTGTAGTACTCTGAAAGGTCGCAAAATGGATTGGAAGGTATGTTTCTTCCACCCCTGTTCCTGTTCACTTATTAATTCATCAGATATTTAATGAGCTACTTACTATATGCCAGGAATTATTCTTGGCACAGGGTTAGCAGGGAACGTGCCAGGTGAAGACCCTGCCTGCGTGCAGCACTTTCAAATGCTATGTGTCCATCTCATGTTCTTCCTCTTTGTTTCTCGTTTTCATCATTCACTTTTTAAATGGTCTTTCTCTCTCTTCTCTCATCAAGTTCCTCTCTTTCAAACTCACTAAAATAAAAAACAATTAGAAATATGTGGTTTGAAATATCTATTGATTGCTCTTTATAGCAACATTTTAGCTATGAAGCAGGTAGGTTTTGGTGCCACTGACATGGCCAGCAGGGATCCAAGAAGTAATTGCTAAGAGGACTATCAACCAGGGACAGGCACACGCAGAGGGCAGTCTGCACACAGGGTGGGAAGGAAGGAACAGCTGAAAGTCAAGCTGTCAGAGGGGGCTGGTGAGGAGATGTGCTTGTCAGAACCTGGACAGCTCAGTGGGCTCTGTTTTGAGAGTTTGCTGTCCACATGACACTCCCTCTCTAAATGGGGCTACTCCTGTGTGTTAAGACATTGGTCTTATCCTTTTACTGTCCATCTGTGTGTGGGCCAGTAGTAGGACTACACTTTTTGGTTCAACTGAAAGTTTATTCAAAATGATTGTACCAATTTAACTTTTGTATGAGATTTGTCAGTTACAATCCTGCTAGCACTTGCTATTACCTGGGTTTGTAATTTTTACCCATTTGATTAACTTAAAATGGAATGTCATTATTATTTTATTGTATATTTTTCTGATAGTTAAGTCCAGTATCTCTTCTTACACCTATTTTTCCATTCAGGTTTTCCCATTTGTGTATTGACTATCTGTAACTATTGCCAGCTTTTCCCCTACAACACTCTGTCTCTATTTTGTTGATTGGCATTTCCTTGTCTATTCTAAATGTTAACTTTTATAAGTTGTAAAAGTAGCAAATGTCAGCTCAGTGCCCATAGCTCAGTGGTTAGGGCACCAGCCACATGCACCGGAGCTGTTGGGTTCAAACCTGGCCTGGGCCTGCTAAACAACAATGACAACAATAATAAGAAAATAGTCAGGCATTGTGGCAGGTACCTGTAGTCCCAGCTACTGAGGAGGCTGAGGCAAGAGAATCACTTAAGCCCAAGAGTTTGAGGTTGCTGTGAGCTGTGATGCCATGGCACTTTACCAAGGGCAACATAGTGAGACTCTGTCTCTAAATAAATAAAAGTTGCAAACGTCTTTTCCCAGTCTGTTACCTCTCTTAACTTTGTCAGTGGAGTCCTTAATTATAGAGACATCTTTAATTTTAATGTAGACAAACCAGTTTCTCCCTTTAAAGAGTGTGCTTTATTTTGAAGCCTTATTTTAAGAATTCTTCTCTGTTCTAAGATTATTCTTCTTAATTACCTTTTCTTAAATTGCCAATCTAAATAACAGAGAGAAGCTTTAAAAGAAAATGTTTATTTGGGAACAGGTCATTGCAATGGGAATACCCATACCACAGCAAACTATGTGTGTGTTCAAGGAGGTAAAGGGACACAAAGGTTTGTAATAGAAAAATTACCTAATTGTTTTATTTTAGGATAGTTATTCCTGGCTGCAGGAATCAGTAACTAAGCGTGTCCAAGGTTGGACAGGCAGTTGATGGGCAGGTACCGTTGCAGAAATATATTTTATGTAAGGTTGTAGTGACCTCTATGCAAAGTTGTGGTTTTTACAGTCTTTTGTGATAGTTTTTATCATCAGGCAGAGAAGCCTGAGAACTTGCCCTTCATGGCCTTCCCTGGCTCTTTCAGGGTTTTGTTTTCCTTTGCTTTTTGAGACAGGGTCTTGCACTCTTTTTTCTTTTTTTTTTTTTTTTTTTTGAGACAGAGCCTCAAGCTGTCCCCCTGGGTAGAGTGCCATGGCTTCACAGCTCATAGCAACCGCCAACTCCTGGGCTCAAGTGAGTCTCCTGCCTCAGCCTCCCAAGTAGCTGGGACCACAGGCGCCCGCCACAATGCCTGGCTATTTTTTTGATTGCAGCCATTATTGTTGTTTGGTGGGCCTGGGCTGGATTTGAACCTGCCACCTTAGGTGTATGTGGCTGGCGCCTTAGCCACTTGAGCCATAGGCGCCGAGCCAGGGTCTTGCACTCTTGCCTGGGCTGGAGTACAGCGGCATCATCCCGGCTCACTGTAACCTCACTCTCCTGAGCTAAGGGCAGCACTGCAGATGTGTGCCTCCAGGCCTTTTTTCTTCTTCCTTCTTCCTTCCTCCTCCTCCTCCTTCTTCTTCTTTTCTTCATTATTATTATTATTATTATTATTTGAGGCAGAGTCTCAAGTTGTTGCCCTGGCTGGAGTGCTATGGTATCATAGCTCACAGCAACCTTCAACTTGGGCTCAAGCAGTCCTCTTGCCTCAGTTTTTCTATTTTTTTGTGGAGACAGGGTCTTGCTTTTGCTCAGGCTGGTTTTGAACTCATGAGCTCAAGCAATCCACCTGCCTCAGCCTCCTTGAGTGCTAGGATTGCAGGCATGAGCCACCTTGTCTGGCCGTATTTTTATTTTTTTGCAGAGATGGGGTTTCCCTTTGATGCTCAGTCTGTTCTCAAAACTTCTAGGCTCAAACAATCTTCCTACCTTGGCCTCCCAAAATGCTAAGATTACAGGTGTGAGCCACTGTGCTCAATCTGTCAGTGTTTTTAACACAAATGACACCATTTTGAGTTAGACAACTTTCACATTTTTTTCACATTTAGGTCTTTAGTCTGTTTGGAGATAATAACGTCTTCTAATTTTAGTTTTCTTCACGTAGCCAGTTTTCCTAATTTTATTTACTAAGTAATATAAATGTATTTTCTACTTAATACCTTTAAACACCTAAATGATGCCTCTCTGTTGTATTAACAATTTTCATATGAGACAGATTTGTTTTTAGGCTCTTCATTCCATTGGTCTATCTCTGTGCTGATACTACACTGTTTTAGTTACTATTGCTTTGTAATATCTTTTATTACCTGAGAAGGAAGCCCTCTTTGCCTTTTATTTTTCAAAATCGACCATGTAAGTTTCTTATTGAATTTGTCAAGTCCCCCCCCCCAAATCTTCAAGGGATTTTTAACTAGAATTGCATTAAACTAATTAAATAATTTTGGGGGGGAATTTATGTGTTTATTATATTGGGTTGTTATATCCTTGAAAATACTGTTTATTTACTGTTTTTTTTCTTATAATAGTTTCATTAATTATGCCCTAAGGGATTTAGTTACATTATACTCTCTATCTATTGCCTCTTAAACAGTACTAAGATAGCTTTATTTAGAAAAAGCATTTACATATTAATTGTTATCAAATAAAATGAAAAGCCTAAACAGAAAAAGCATAAGGAGGAAGAAATATATCCTACCCATTTTTTTCTTTTTTTTTTGCAGTTTTTTTTGGCTGGGGCCAGGTTTGAACCCACCACCTCTGGTATATGGGGCCGGCACCCTACTCCCTTGAGCCACAGGTGCCACCCTAATCCTACTCATTTTTTAAAAATGACTTTTAATTGTAAAATATTTATTTAAGCCAAAAGGTATATAAAATGTATCACCTTGCTAAAATAATAAAAAACAAACACCTGTGTATCTATTGCTTAAAACAATGAAACTCACACTATGTGCTGTGGAGCTCCCTGGGTGTCTCTCTCCCATTGCATTCTTTCTTTTCCCCCAGCAACCACTACTTTATGGATTTAGTTTTTGTCATTGGTGTGTATAGTCCTGTGATTGATTGCCTTTTGCCCAATTTTCTATTAGTTAATTTGTCCTTTTTTTTTTTTT